AAATACAAGGATGGTAAAAGGTGAGTCATTATAAAGTCAACTACAACAATCATATAAAGGAGCTGACTTTTCTGTGGCCGGCAATATGTCATCGTGATGCATAGCTGGGCGGAAGACACGACTCCTTTCTTCTAGCTGTGTAAAAAGTCCCTGGACCTAAAGGAGATGCTGGCGTTCCCCCTGCCTGCATTTGCGGGATAAAATAAAGAGACCTAAACGCGTGCGTATGAAGAGCTTGAGCAGCATGCCAACGGTGGGTAAATTCTATTAAAAATACGCGGATTCAAATGTAGGAGCTAAGAGCTGGCGCAGTGCATGCCTTGAAATCCCACACAAAACTACTCTTGCCAAACAGATGCTACTTTAGAGTAGGAAATAGCAAAGTAAAATAGTTTCTCGGCAAGCAAACACCAAAGTCTACAAGTCGTTTATTATTACCGTCCAACTGGACGCTGCAGACGCTAGAACGATGACAGCATAAGCTGAACCTTGGATATAGTTCAGCGAATCAAGAATCAGTGTCGCATCCATGATGGAAACAGAGAAAATGAAAGACCTGCGCTTACTTGTTTAGAAAGATCAGTTGAAGTGTCTGCCATTCATGCCGATCTACGAAAAAGAATTACTGGGGTCCCCAGCAATTGGAAAATTTTGCTTAATTTTTCATTTAAATTCAATTTCTAAAACTTTTTGGATTTGAACGCGACTCTTTCGAATGGCAGTACACACTGTCTACCGCGGCCATCTTATTTAGCAAAAATATATTTTTTATATAATATAAATAAATAAATCCAATTTGTATACAGTAAATAGTAGTTTTTCTTGTATAATAATGAATAATAATTTAAAAAGATTGAATGGGAAACATACACATATACATATAATTAGCAAAACACATAACAAATATCTTATGTATAGTAATAGGATATAAATTACACAACAAATTATAAATATGTTTATAGGTCCACCCGTGCTTAGAATTCCTTACTCCCTCACATTACAAGTTTCCACATAAAGGTTAATACGGCTAATGGCCATTTCATGCAAATCAACTCCCGTTGCTTGAACTGCTTTACCCACAGCAACTACCTGCTGTGCGGGTTAGGAACTTGGCTAAATTCACCAGAGAGCTTTGTTGAGTAACATCGTTGCACAGCGGCGTCTACTGCTGTCTATGTGCATTCAATAAATAAAAAGGATGGTGTGTGTCTGAGGTAAAACTGTCGTACCGACACCGACCACTACAGTGATTGTAAAAAAACAGCTTGTTCACATAGGTGCTGCATTTTCTGTGCGCCTGGTGCAAATCTCAGTTTAGCACATTTAGAAACAATTTTCTTCGCAGCGCCAAGCACAATGCAGTGCAACCCTGTCATTAATGGATACCAAGCGAGCAGAAAAATGGTGTAATAAGTGTCACTGAGGCAATGTTTCTCCGGAATTTGTTTACTTACTTACCGCTAGGAAATATTTGTGCTATTTTTTGAAGGTGAAAATCGCTCATTTCATCTAAGGTACAGTATAAAAAATACGACTGAAAGTTTCATTGAAATATCTGAAAAGATCCTTTTTTTGAAGCGAGTAATTTGCGTGAAAGACCCAACCGGACACGTTGAAATCAGCTGTCACAAATGCACTAATTGCGATACAAGAGGAAAAGGTGGATCTACTGATCGCAGAAGTATGTTGGTGGTCAGGCATATTAAGCGGTTATTAAGGTGAAAATGAGGGAAACTGAAGACCCAGGAGATATCACTACATGTGAAGGGCACACAGAAGAAGAAATTCCGTTGAATCCCTTATCTAGCTCAAGTGTTGACGACGGTTTACAACTACTCTCGAAGATATTAAGAACCACCAAATTCACAACTGATGGGACTCGTCTTCTCACTTTAGGTCGCCTCCAAACGGATGTTTGTTGGCTATCCATTGGGACACTTGGTCTTGAATGGCAATCAAAAATTTTCCTCTACGTGAACTTCCTTACGTGACACATGGCATCATCCTCCTATTTATGGAGGGAAAACTTCTGTCTGCCACATGGCAGTACAAATGAACAGCTTCTTTGCAAAATATTATATAATTGGGTAAAAGCATGTTTGACGATTTGAAACTAAGTGTGCTCGGCCCAATCCACAAAAAAACGACGAATCCCACAGTCTGCGTCAATTACCGTGTAATGGAAACTGACACTAAGCAACACTAAAAGCTCCGTCATGATCGGGAAGGAACTCTCCGAGCCGTTCGATACCAAGCGAGGTTTCAGACGCGGCGATTCCTTATCATGTGACTTTTTTAATTTATTACTGGAGAAAATATTACGAGCTGCTGAGCTGAATAAAGAAGGTACAACCTCTATAAGAGTGTACAACTGCTGGCGTACGCCAATGATACTGACATTATTGGCCTCAACAATCGCGCTGTGAGTTCCGCTTTCTCCAGGCTCGATAAGGAAACGAAGCGAAAACAAACTCTACAAGTCGTTTATTATTGTAGCGGCTCTCTAACCCCGCTTAGGGACAGGTGTGATTAATCTAAGTCGCCGAGGTCATCTAAAGAGAGGTCCAGGAAACGAGCTGTTTCGATGGGGTTGGACCAAAGGGAGAGGGCGGTTAGATGAGTTGTTTTATGTGGGCATGTGAAGAGGTGGTTAGTGTCGTGCGGAGACACTCCACATGCAGGGCATATGTTGGGGATGCTTGGGTGCCGACTGGATAAGTAGGAGTTTAACCTGCTACAGTATCCAGAACTGAGTTGTGTCAGGGTCACGCTGGTCTCTCGAGGCAGCTCGAGCTCGAGCTCGTTGTCTCGCACGTCATTCACTGGAAAGGAGTCCTTGAAGGTGTTGACTGACTGACTCCTGGTGAATGGCGTTCAGTGCTTGTCTGTACGCCATCCTGTTCAGCAACTCCCAAGACAGCCGGTTCTACGTACCGGAGTTGACCCGGGTTGTCACCCTTTCGGCGACCTAACCCCGTTTATGTCAACAGGTAACAGATAACATTATCCTTGCCGTTCTAGTATATGGCCTAGAAGCGTGGACGATGTTAATATCTGATGAGTTGGCCCTTGGAGTCTTCGAGAGAAAAGTTTTGCGAACGATTTATGGTCCTTTGCGCATTGGCAACGGCGAAATCCGCAGACGATGGAACGATGAACTGTATGATACTATATGATAATATTGGCATAGTTCAGCGCGAACGAAAAAGCAGCGGCTACGCTGGTTAGGTAATGTCGTCCGAATGGATGAAATCGCTCCAGCTATGAAGGTTATCGATGCAGTTTCCGTCGGTGGAAGCTGAGGAAGAGGAAGACCTCCACCCTGTTGGAGCGAAACAACCTGTCACTCGGTATTTCCAACTGACGCTAAACAACGAAAAGAAGGGATGAACGGCGCGCTAATATTGATTCGGGTAAAATCGCGTAAGCGGTGCCAATGCCAATAAAGAAGAAGAAGAAGACTTCGATTTAAATTTTTTTCGCATTTATTTTACCTCCAATTTGTTTATTTACACATTTTAGCTTCTTATTTTAATTCTTAAGCTAATTAATTACTTACAACTTTATTTTCGTACATTCTAATCCTAACTGTACAATTAATTATAAAAGTTCACAAAAAAATATACCACAAACTCCACTTTACCAACACGCTTAGCTATTTACATAACATAAATATGTCTGCGACTCTACAAAATTACCGTTAAAGCTACTACGCGACCAACCCGAAGAATTCTTTATATGTATTATACATACATACATACATAAGTACTCGATGACTCCACATTATTTACAACTAACTTACGGTTACAACAATAAAATCAACTAAAACTATCACAGGCAACGAAAGAAGAAGCATCATTGAAGCCTACCAGGCACAACAACAACAATGCGTCTTTTTTCTTCTTTAAACTTAATGTGACCAACATTGTGGTCCTCAACATTGGATTCGTTTCAAAACTAAACATACATACCCACCTACAGACAGACATTAGGGTTCAGGGTTAAGCTTGCACAAAGAAATGGCAACAGTGCGTGTAGTCGCTAGCGACTTAGGAACATTTACGGCTCACGTAATTCTCCCAGACAGCCTTCGTTCTATACATGGTATATACATACATAGCTGTTATTTCGTTATTCCTATTCTACTACACATACATATATTTCTCTATCAGTTCATGGGCATATTGACCTCCCAAAGTTTCATTTGATTGTCGAGCACTTCATTGAACCAACTTTGCTTCTCGGGCTCATTCCGGAATATGACATTCAAGGATTTCAAATCCAACTGTAGTATCGCATCGTTGCCCAGCAGATTGTCCAGTGCTTTGAGCAACGTGCCATTGCCGTGCAGCTTCAACAGCGTCACATACTTCACGACATAGTATTCATACTGCAGTTTTCGGCGCGCCCAGCGCTCCACCGTCGCATTGGAGCTGGCCGAACGTATTTGACCCAAATGCACCGCATGCCATGGCGCAAAGAAGTCGTAGAGATCTTTTTTCGAGAGACTGTTAAGTCCTTTCGTTTTGATGCGATCCCGGATCTGCTGGTAGTTTTTGCGTGTGTAGACAAAGACCTAACGAAAAAGAAAATAAATAAATAAATAAAAAAATAAACAAGAAGGTTTTATTAATAAAAAAAAAAGTTTAAATAAAATTGTTATCTCACTCATCCCACCTGATACAGTGAATTGCCCGTCGTGTATGAGTTGATGTAGTGTGTGCCACAGGATTCCATAAATTTAATCGCGCCCGTCACATTACCCTTTTGAATGCCATTTATGCGTTCGCGCACATCATTCTCCAGCGTTTGATTGAGCGGTATGTCGCCTTTGAACTTGCCCACTTCCCGAAAGCGTACCACCCGCACCAGTACATACGAGTACTCGCCTAGTAAGAAGGTTGTGTTGATGCCCAGTTTCTTGGCCGCATTCTCAGCGAACCAACCGCCGGTGAAGGCCTCCCACGGTTTGTCCAGTCGATCGACTGTGAAGTCGCGGAAGTAAGCCTGGTAGAGTTGTCTTCGATTATCGCAGAATTCCATGTGGAAGTCACCATGAAAGATTCCCGGCGCATTTTCCTCTCGACTTTCGCTAAGTGAATTTAAATCCTGCAAAGATAAAAAAATTAATTAAATGAAATGAACAAATGCCTAACATGAAAATAGTCACAAAAGAGACAAACAATTAGGCTTCTGATACTTAAACTTAACAAATGGTTTGATGGCAAAATATGTAAATTGATTGAATATGCCTGTGGCTAAGGAGTTTATTTGGGGTATAAACTGGACTGGGCGAAAATTAAATCAAGTACCCACGATCAATTGATCAGCGACAAACTCATTTTGTCGACAGAAACCAACTGACGCCAACTCGGTTGAAAATCTTTTCCTCTCTTGATTGACATAGGCATCGCTTACATCATTAAAGCCGAGTCAACTCCCCAGTCGTTTCTTCTACACGCCATTTCACTGGCGCTTACTGCACAGAAAACTTCTAAAGCTGGAATGCTTTCGCCCATACCGACAATATGTCCAAGCCAGGGACGTCGTTGTCTCCTAAATTAGTGAACAACGCTCAATGGTATCCGGTATTTGTCATTTCTACAAAACCTTTCTTTGGTTAACTCCCAGCATCGTCTCATTGAATGTAGTACGCCGTCCTGCCACTACATCATTTAGTAGGTTGGAAATTATGTTCGACTTGGAAGGTTTTGTGTTTGTTCGTCGATTAAGATTTCACAGATTACTTATAATTTTTGCTTTATAAGGACGTAGTTTTTCCCAATCGTATATTGATCTTCTGCGGTCATAGACAGTAATCACAAAAGTAACTGATGTCCGTTTAACAACACATTTTGGAGTTTCAAAAGTACAGTTCTGTGTTTTGACAGCTCCAAGACTTAATTGTCAAGCCAAACAGACTTCAGACATTTATTAATATTGATCGCGCAACAACCACACAACGCGTTAAAATTGTTAAAACCATCCACAAAAAGGGTGACCCAAATGGGGCCTTGAGAAGAGGTTATGGTGTACTTAATCAGTGTCCAACCACTCAAGCAATTTTAAAGAGATTTGAAGAGACTGTGTCAGTTAGCAGATATTGTAAGGTCTGTGAATCAAGCTTTTGGTCGTTCTACATAAGATATCGCTACTATAAATGAAAGTATAGCCAAATACCCCATGTGTATATTTTTTCTAAGTTCTCAAGAGTTATGACTTTCTTACGGCATTATGGAGTATTTTGAACTTCGCCATACACCTTCAACCATATAAAGCCCTACACACACATAATTAAAGCCAGCTGATCAATCAAATGCTGTACATCCGTCGATTGGGTGCTTGAACAACAAGCAGTGGACGGCGATTTTTCGAAGAAAATTTTCTTCAGCGACAAAGCACATTTCCCACTCGAGGATGCGTAATCCTCAAATAATTTAAGAGAGTCCAATACACACAAAAAAAACTTAATGTCTAATGACAACGGCGAGACTGTCATTCTCAATTCGGATGATAACCGACTTTTCTTCGCCTGCAATTGAGGAACACGAGACTTGGAGTTGGTGCTAATGACTCACAATACGAGCGCATATGGCTTTATTTTAAAGGAAATTCTCCTACCGCGTAAACTCAATTGACCATCGAGGTCATACGATTTGACACCGTTGGACTTTTTTTTGTGAGGCTACGTGAAAGACTGTGTTCGTATGGATAAAGCTTTAATTCTTGAGCACTTGATGACCAACGTTCTTGAAGTTAAGAGCGTTAGGGGCTGAGATATGCGCAATGGTTGAAAGTTTACAAAAAAAATGCGAGTCGAACGTTTGAGTGATGTAGTGTTTCACACACTTGGAAAACGCCAAGGTCACACTTTATAGTAATAATATTTTTTAATTATGTTTATTTCCCAAGCCGCAAAACAGATAGCCCTGTATTTTGCGTAGTTAGGACTTTAGAAAGAATAAATAAATAAAATAGCTGAAAATGAAGTAAAAATAACATGAACTAAATAATTATTTTCAAAAATATTTTTTACATATTTATTGTATTGTAAATTAATGAGCTGAATGGATGTAAAGAAAAAGTGAAGGGAAGAAGCCTGTTGGGAATCTGTTGGCGTCTTCAGCTCCGACGCATTTCTTGTTGCTTGAATTCATTTTAAATAATTATATACTTTAATTAACTCCTACTCTCCTCCTGTCTGAAATTGTTGCTTACCTTATAAATTGATTTTGTCGGCTCCTTAAATAGCCATTTATCCGTTTCATAACTGTCATTGTACGGTATGACGCGCATCGATATGCCCAAATAACCATAACGTACAAAAATGTTGATAGCCTTACCGAGACGTAATTGGGACTCTCGTGCGAAGCCCGAGCATATGTTGCAGGCTACGAATATTAGTGCCACCAGCCAAAATAGACCATTACCCAGGTTCATCGCTCATTCGGCGTAACGTTTACATAGAAACGTATGTGTTGTGGTATGTAAGTGAAGTAACTGGAAGGTTGCAAAAACAAAACAAATTACTTAATTAATTATTAAACTAATAAAAATGCGATAATAAAAAAATTAAATATATACGTGCAGATATCTAAAGTCAGGGCCATATTCCGAGGCGTCGTTATGAAACAAGAAAAGAAAAACATCTCTAAGTGGGTGACTCCGGCTTAGTTTTTCCCAAAAAAAAGTGACACATCATCCATTATTTTTACAATAAATTGAAGGCTTTATTTAACACAACTGCAGGTTTATGTCAAATATGCACCGTTAGATAACTAACTGTCATTTTGAAGGTAATGCCATTATGACACTCTCATAGCAACCCTCGTCCCTAATGGTAAAAAAATAGGAACCACCGATTTTAGCAAGCTCCTCTTGAGGCCATTTCCTCATAAGCCAAACCATTCGCCATAAAGAGGAAACGATGATAATCACTTGGTGGGAGGTCCGGACTATAGGGTGAATGCATAAAAACCACCCAACCAAACCCCACGGAGCTTATGGCGAGTTACTATCGATGTATGTAGCCTGGTATTGTCCTGGCGATTCTTTCCTTCAGACGGTCGAATTGCTGGCAGTACAGGTCCGAATTAAGAGTTTGTGCGAAGGGAAGTAGCTCTTAGTTGATCATTTTTCGGTCCCACCAAATGTACCCTTAAATCTTGATGATCTCAACCCTGGCTTGAACACTCGTCTCTATCGAAGAAAAGTTGTAGAATATAAATAGGCTATATGCTTGAACCCATATGTGACATGCGCTCAAACACTACTAAGTTAAGTGATGAACATCAAGACAGCAAGATATCATCTTTCTAAGGCCAGCTCATGTAATATAATCGCACTGTTGGAGCGCGTGATAGAGATCACTAAAGTTATCTTCGCAAAAATAATGACTGACTTATTAATTGACCTAATATTTTTTGTTGATCAAAAATCATTGCCTGCCAACCTTCAGTGTCAGCGCGGAAATCCAAATCAGAATCATACTTAACAGCAGATGCTACTATTGACTGACGAACATTGACTAAACTCTAAGTCGCCTAGCATTTCCGACCTGCTATATGTTCCAGAGGCATAAACGATGAAAACATCTGCTGAGTCGCCGTAGCGAATTTTAGAGGTTTTGAGTAAGATTTATGGCTGTCTACAAGTTGAGCACGCAAATACCGCAACCGGTGAAACGATAAGCTGTATGAGGTATAGTGCGACATTGACGTAGTTTAGCATTTCCGCCGAAAGCAGCTACGCTGGCTAGGTCTTTTCGAACGAATGGATAAGAGTGCTCTCACTTTGAAAATTTTCGATGCAGTACCGTTGTTGTGGATTTGCTTGGTATCTCTAGTTGGCGCCAAGCAGCGATGTTATTAACTCGACTACAATCCGGCAAATGGTGCCAGTAAATAAGAAGAATGTTGACACATAAAAAACGAATTTAAGAAAAATGTCTTGTCTTTTTGAAAAATTACCCTCGTATACCAATATATGATTGTCGCATTGTAACAGCTAAAGCGATTTTCGGCCGTTTTTTTGCGTCTTAATGTTTTCATAACAAAGGAGGGAACCTTATGTTTTATGTCAGAAATACACTCAAAGTGGTTGTTATTGCCTGCCGAGGGGCAAATACAATTTTTAAAATAATTTCCAGGTTCTTGAAACGCACATTTTTATATACCGAATTATGACGGAAATTTATTTCTTAATTATAAATTATTAATATCAAACTGCCGTACATGTAAATCTTATAGAAGTAGACATAGTTTGTCAAAAAACATATATATGTATACATATATAATATATATAGTGTGATTTTAAGAGCTATAGGAAAGTTTTTCAAAAGAAAAAATTCAGAAAAATCCAAACATCTTATTTGAAAGGACAGTACGGTCCATATAATTTAATATTTAAAGATTAATTCATACAACTACTGACCCTAACTGCGCCTCAAATGGTCCGTCCGCTAAAATCAATTTTGATATACTCTTTTCAAAATTTCGGCCATTATCTCACGAATGAATGCTTCAATGTTGTCCTCCAATGCGTCAATTGAAGCTTTAGTGGCCTTGTCTGTATAGACAATAGATTTAATATACAATAGACCCATAAAAAGTCTATGTCTAAAGGCCTTAAATCGCACGATCTAGGCGGCTAGTTGACCGGTCCCGAACGGGAAATAAAATGTTCACCGAACTCGCCTCTCAATAAGTCCAATATTACGCATGCTGTGTGGCATGTGGCACCGTCTTGTTGAAACCACATGTCGTGCAAGTCAAGCCCTTGCATTTTGAGCAAAAAAAGTTTGATAACATCTCACGGGAGCTCTCACCATTCACGGTTACGTCACGATTCGCATCATTTTTGTACTTTGTACATCAGTACTCCTTGTACTGTCCAATGATGCCACCAGCCCATGACCCGCAGCAAAGTGTGACTTTTTCTGGATGCATTGGTAGCTTGCAATGCTTCTGGCTAATCTTCTTTCTTAACAGAGCATGCATTTTGATATTTAATATATGAATGATATTCGATAATATGCAAGCGTTATCCGTTTGTAAGACGATTCATGGTTAAATTATAGACCAAACTGAAGATGTTCGACAGTGATACAAAACACGAAACGCGCTTCAGCTGTTTAAATCAGTGTTGCCAAAAAGATAATAACTAAAAAATCACCCTTTATATATAAATAAATATATACCGCAAAAAACTTATTGAACTGTATTTTAAAATATGTATTTATTTTGAAGCTGAAATTTCGATCAAATGCTAAGATATGCAGAAGCTTTTAAGGTCGCTATGCACAAAACTTGTATAAGCCTACGCTGGCCGAAAATACACAATTTTTGCCGCCAATTGATCCGAATCAGTTACACTTACGCACACACTGTACATTTAACGATCATACATATTTATTTGTGTACATTTTCGTATTTGTTATACTTTCAAAAACAGACATGTTTTCATCACTTGTACGCTTAAAAGCCGTTGCTGCATTTCAATTTGGTAAGGAAAATATATATTTATATACATACTTATGAGTATAAATGAACTGATTGCGGTTGTAACTTGGCAATGAAAAAATTTCAAATTTTTGATTAGAAATGAGTTCGAATAGTTTTGTATGGCACAGAATTGTTGAAGTGTCTGCACTGCTCCCACATATTTAATGAGGATAGTTATAGTCTACAATAACAATGCATTAATCGGGTCATTATCTAAGCTGAAATCAACTCTACAAATATACACTTGACCGTGCCAGAGTTGAAAGCATCTAAGGACCGCCGTAACCCTGTAGAAACTTAACTGTCTCATTTAGCTCTCACAGCTAAAATGCTGCTCTCATTTAGCTCTCCTCAACGAAGCAGCTCAATTTGATATTCGATTTTTGGTTGTCAAATGATTGAAGACTACCGTTAATTGACATATTTTTTAAACTGTGTTTGCCGCTATAGCAACAACAGTATGTTGAGTAAAGTTAGAAGACTCGTTCTACACCAAATACTCAATGTTTGAGTTTTTAGTTTGTAACTGGCCAAGAAGGCAATACTCGTTTCCAGAGAAAAGATACAGTTTTGCCATAAAATTTTAATTTTAAATACATACACACACACATGTATGTATACATTTTCTTATTTAACCAGTTTCTTCTATATGGCTGATGAACTTCCAAGTAATGAAACTCATTTCAGCACCACTCGATTCTAATGACCCATCCATGCTGCTGATCAATTAAAAAAAAAAATAATAAAAATAAAAAAAATTGGCGAAAGAACAACTTCTTGTTTTTAGTTAATGATGATTTATGTCGACAGATTTAATCACCTATAATCGCATGCCATGAAATGAGCAAAGAGGGACTATTAAGAAGCCACCACACACATGAACTTGTACGTTCGCTGTTAATGCGAGTATGAGCATCTAAATTGACCGTGAATTCGTATGGCTGATGGTAAACTTGACATCTGATGAACCAACGACATCTACAACAGCAACAACAACGCAGCGTCATCAAAATCGCCACACCAGCAGCATTAAAATAATCATTGTCATAAACTTTTTAAAAGCATAATTAAAACTTTGCAACAACAAATACATACATATATCCAACTGACGACAACAGAGACAATAACAAATGTAAGTACATACATATGTACACGTATGCAAATATACGTATACAACGCGCGACCATAATTAGTCAAACACAAAATACAAATATATTTAAATATTTCTAAATTAAATTCACACATATATTTTTATTTAATTAAAAATCTTTTATTTATAAGTAGTAAACAGAGGAAATCAAAAAATGTTATACTATGCATGGCTTTATAAAGGGTGATTTCTTAGCTTTTATCTTTTCGGCAACACTGATTTCAACAGCTGAAGCGCGTTTCATATTTTATATCACTGTCAAACATCTTCAGTTTGGTCCGTAATTTAACCATGAATCGTCTTACTAACGGACAACGCTTGCAAAATTATTGAATTTTATTATCAAAATGCGTGCTCTGTTAAGAAAGTTCATCACTTCGAAGTTCATCTATGACTTAATGGGTGCGCAAATAAGCAGAATTGTCGATTTTGGAGTGAAGATCAGGCAGAAGCATTGCGAAGGTTACAAATGCATCCAAAGTCACAGTTTCGTGAGGCTTATTGGGCTGGTGGCATCATTAGACCGTATTTCTTCAAAGATGATGTGAGTGGTGAGAGCTATCGAGATATGATATCATACTTTTTTGACCAAAATGCAAGAGTGGACTAGTATGACATGTGATTTCAACAAGACAGTGCCACATGCCACACAGCACGCGTAACAGTGGACTTATTGAGAGGCGAGTTCCGTGAACATTTTATTTCACGTACGGGATCTGTCAATTGATGGTATTATACTATTTTTTAAGAGACTATGTTATATCTAATGTCTATACATATGACATATGATAGTGCAAGCATCAATTGACTCATTGGAGGACAAAATTGAAGTGTTCATTCGTGAGATA